GAAGCGCTTTTTCTATTGAGCCATCTCCCTGGCCCATGCACTCCACTGTTGTATGATGAACTGTTTTGATTGAAATAGTGTGAGCAGAGTTCAGCTCTGCCACAGATACTTCTTTGGAAGAAAATATTTTAATAGCTTTTTTGATAATTATGATTATTCCTTTTTGATACTTTTACAAAACCCTTTCTTGAACTTTGAATGGGTCTTTTATTCTTGCATAATACTATAACATGCATTGGCCACTTGAAATGACATCTTCTTTTTTTTTTATAAATTTATTTTATTTTATTTGTGTGTGTGTGTGTGTGTGTGTGGCCAGCTTTGCCCACCAGGGGGCGGGGCTGGCTGGCATGTGGTGCTGATGGGTTGAACCGCGGTCCCTGTGCTTCGCTAAGCTTGTTCTAAGTATGTGCTTTAGACCACTGAGCCATCTCACCAGCCCGAAATGACATCTTCTAAATGTTGATATATTACATAGTAGTAAAACGACAGTTCACTTAGAGTGACAGTTCACTCTGAGTAGCTATAATTTGCTGCTTCTCTTTTGAATATTTAATCATTTTTTAGATCACAAGTATATGTATGCAGGGCCAGCCAAATAGCTCAGTGGATTAAAGCTCCTGCTTAGGCAGATGCAGGGGGTGGGAGTTTGATCCCTGGGCCTGCTGTGCCGGCCCCGTCCCCAGGGTGCAGTGAGACAGTGAGACCGTTATTGAGACTAGGCGTGGTGGCGCAAGCCTATAATCCCAGCACTTGAGAGGCTGTAAACAGGAGGATGACTACAAGTCCATTCTACGCAGTGAGACCCTGTAGACCCTGTCCTAAAAATACAAAAAAGCAAAAAACGAAAACAAGTATATGTATGTATTTTTAAAATCAAGTACTGTTTATTTATATGATGCTTTTTTTTTGCTCTATGATAGGCATTCCATCAGTCTCATAAAAAATACTCAAAGCTGTCAAGCTTACAATGATAGCACTGTTCCAAAATTATAATTTTTTGCTAGAAAGATTGAATTTTATTATTGTCAACATATACTGTTCTGTTCTTTGAAATGACACTCTTTCTGTGTTCATATTTGAGAAAATATGCCAAAAATCTAAGTTGGAATGGCCATTGTTGTTTGTCTGTTGAAGTAAAAGTATTAATTCATTGACTTAGTTAATTGTAGGTCTGAGTCAGACAAGTACTTTTTTCTCAAGTATTCTGTAGGGGTGCTCAGTATACTTGTTTCATCACTTGCAGTATTAAAAAGATATATTCTAAGATCAAAGTTTAATAAAAATAATTCTTGCAATTTCACCATAGACACTCTTTTAAGTGAAACTGACTTTTTACCCCAAATACCTCGAGTGTATGGCTAGAGTCTGACATCATTGCTTTCTCTGTTGGAAGGTTCCACCAGTGTTTCCCACTACTGTCTTCATACAGTTAGTGTAAAAGTCAGTACAATGGAAAGAGCAATTCAGATCTGAGTACACTATTTTTTTTTAATTTTTCTTTTTTGAGACAGTGTTTCACTATGCAGTTGAGGCTGGTCTTCAACTCACTTTATAGTTGAGGCTGGCTGATTTTTTTGTTTTGTTTTGTTTTTGATCTGGGCATTCTTATAGGAACAGCTTAGACCTGGGCTCTGTGGGCCTCACTTTGAGAACCATTGAAACAGATGCTCAGATCTACTTCATATGTCTCTTCTCACATGCAGGACTTAGTACATTTGTTGTAGGTAGTAACTAAGCTCAGATAATTTTTTCTTTTTTTACACTTCACAGTGTGGTGGGTGGTAGTTCCCATCTAGAATAGCAAGTCATATTTATTTTGTTTATGCAGAAGTTTACTGGACAAATGCTAATCTATATAATGTAGGTTAATCATAAATGTAGGTTTTGTTTTGTTTTGGTTTGGTTTTTGGTACTAGAAATTGAACCCAGGGCCTTTGTTTTGAGGCAGGGTCTCATTAAGTTGCCTAGGTTGGCCTTGGTTTTTTCTTTAAAGAATGTTTGGTAAATGTTTTAAAATACTCAGTTCTTGTGGCTTCAGCTATATCACAGTTGATATTGTAGTTTGGTTTTTTTATGTATTTAGTACGGGGTCTACAGGATCTCACCATGTAGATGGGCTCTCTCCTAGTGATCCTCCTGTTTACAGCCTCCCAAGTGCTGGGATTACAGGCATGTACCACCACACCCAGTCTCAATCTCCATCTCAGTGTGCTCAGGGGCAGGCCGGGAGATCAAAGCCCTGCTCCTAAGCGTCTGCCTAAGCAGGTACTTTAATTTGCTGAGCTATTTGGCTGGCCCTCAGATTGTAGTTTTTAAAGCAATGGCTCCTCAAAACTGTGCAAGATTTTCCTTAATTGAACCTACTTATTCTGCAGCTAATATCTAGTAGTATTTCCTATTACGTAGCAGTAAATGTCTATTAGTTGAGTGAAAGCATGTAATGCTTAGTTTATTGATTTTTTTTTTTAATCAATGTACCTCGGTATTTAAAAAAAAAATAGTAAGGGTCAGGGATATGGCTCAATGGTACAGTGGCTTCCTGGCAAGTGCAAAGTCCTGAGTTTGATTACTGGTACAAAATAATAATAATAACAACAACAACAACAAAAGCTTTTCTTGGTAGTGGGTTTGTGTGATAGACCAAGTAGCCTAAGATGACAGATGTCCTCAGACAGTGTGGGTCAGGAATCTGCAGTTACCCTGTGTTCATTGGTATAGGGCTGCTTGGAGCAGGGAAGGTGTTAGCAGAGACTACAGTTGTCTCAAAGTAGACACATACTGGGAATTCTTCTGTAATTGTGTTACTCAGAAGGCTGGAACACTGACTAGATGTAGAAAACCCTATTTTAACATCTATAAGGATTTAGAGACATGTATTCCTTGGTTTTATTTTTAAGGTTTATAGTTAGGCTTCAAGATATTAGAAGTGCAGCTTTATTATATTAAAAGTCAGAAACATAGTTGATGTCAGGGTTCATCACCTTACTACACAGTGCAGGGTGTTGGACTAACCTGATGCCTTTGCAGTCCTTGCTGAAGGGGCCTGTCCATGTGGCAGCTGGTTTCTGGCAGAGGGATTGATAGAGGAAAGCAGGAGAAGCTGAGCAAGATAGATGTTGTCTTGTTCAGAGGTGGCTTTTTACTACTTTCGTATTCTAGTTGTTAGAAGGGAGTCACTAAATCCAGGGAAGAGAATTCTACAGGGGAGTGTGTATCACGACATGGATGAACAGACGTGGCTATACCTGGAATGGCTGTCTCCTAACACTGCTCCTGGGGCAGCAAAAAGTGAAGCTAGACCACGCCAGCCTTGTGTTGCTGTTCTGTGTTCTTCCTTCTAAAATCTTCTGTACTCATTGTGATTGATTGATTGATTGATTTGGAATTAGATTCTATGGTATAGTCCAAAAGAAATGGAAAGTTAGGGGATAAATTTTAGATCTGTTTGGTAGTAGGAAAAATCTCAAAGTAACTTTTGTAATTGTGTTACTCAGAAGGCAGGAACACTGACTAGATGTAGAAAACTCTTTTATAGCATCTGTAAGGCTTTATAGACATGTATTCCTTGATTTTATTTTTAAGGTTTATAATTAGGTCTCCAGATATTAGAAATGTAGCTTTATTATATGACCTTTATTTAAAGGTCAGAAACAATAGTTTGACTCTATACACTACTTTAAGTTTTTTAAAAACTTGTTTTTGCTTTTGGGGAAATTTATTATGATTCTATATTTTAAAACTTTTGAAAAACATGAAAGCTGAAGAATTCAGGCCATGACAGACCTTTGTGAAGGAAGGAAGCCTGTTCTTCTTGGTATTTGAATACCATTTTTCTTTTTTTAATAAAACAAGTTTTTCACAGTATATTCTAGTTTTCAATAATACTCTTTGCATACTGATTTTAGACTTTAAGTTCTATGACATGGAATTGATAAGATTAAACTATAAAACTTAATAATTTTATTTTTATTTTTTATTTTTTTCAATTTGGAAGCAAATATTTTATTAACTGACCAAATCATAAAAACACCATGGTAGATACCTTAGTTCATCCTTCTAATAAGCCTGCTGACCTGCTCTTCCGTTTCCAGCATTCTTACCTTCCACAATGTGGGTGGTTATTTTCTTCATTCCACCTCATAGAGATGATAACTTGAATGGCCACAGGAAGTTATTTGCCTCTTTGAAGCACTTTCCAACAGTGTAGATCTCATGAATCAGATCCCCCATACAGATAATTCCATATTTACCAAGAGATTGAGCAATCAATGAATTATCTGTTAAGACAATTTGCTTCTTACTGATTTTGCTATTGCCACGCTTATATATTAGTTCCTTTACTGACTTCACGTTTGGGTACCCCCATGCAATGTATGGCTCCACAATTCTCAGCATGTTAATTGAAGCCTTGTTGAGCATAACGAAGGTACCATTGAAGATTTGGCGAAGGTGAAGAAACTGCAACACCTTGCGGACCTTTGGGCTCATACCATAGATACCCCTGATCCGGATGACAAATGCCAGTTTGGGCTCTGCAGGGACATAGAAGTCACCAGCTTTTCTTGCCATCCGGATCTCAGTTCTGTACATCTGTCTGTACTCCTTATGACAAGGCCTGGCTTTTTCATAGATGAGCTTCCTCCTCGCCTCGCGAAGCCTTTTCTGGGCAAACTTCTTTCTCAGGCGCTGTATCTTCAACTCTGCGAAATGTCTCCACTTTTTCATAAGGGTTTCTGGCACAGCAGAAACCTTTTTTTTTTTCTTCTCTTCTACACCCTCCATGGTTCCAGCCAGAAAAGAGGAAACAATTTTATTTTTTAAATTCCATAAAGAGGGATTTGGTTCTCCTCAAATGGATGTTACTGTGTTACTTTTCTTCATCCTGATCATTTTACTTGAATCCACGATCACCATGCCATTGAGTGGCATAATTTAATTTCATACCAGTTTATTCTGTGTGTGAATGGGTATAACAGTGCTGTCTCTCTTTGTCACAGGAATCTTATCCATCTTCTTCACCCATATGGTTTGTAGACTCTGATGACCCAAATCTGACATCGATTCTGGAACGTCTAGAAGATACTAAGAGCAACAACTCGGTGAGAAAATAAGCCAGGCTACTTTCTTTTTTTCTCATGAGTGTTACATATAAAACTTACGTGTTAAGAGGTAGTGTGATAGAGAAGAATGACTAATCTTAAGAGAAATTAAAGGTCAGCATTTGTTTTTGTTTTTGTAAATTCTTCAAGTTCTATTTATTACCTAGTTTCTCTTTTGTTTTTTCTCACAGGAGAAGGCATGCTTTAGAGTAGGAAAAGTAGGAGTCTCACTTCTCTGCATTGTAACCATTAGGCTCAGCAAACAATTTTGTTAGTGACCATTAACCAAAATGGGAAGTAGAAAAAGGGAAAAATAAAGTTGAAGGAAAATAATGATAGAGCAATACCAGTACTCATAGGGAGTTGCTTTTTTTCACAAGGGCCTATAAATCTATAGTGACAGTCAAAGATATTCAAATGGAAAGTTTGTTTTGCTTTTTAATATATAGTAGTCTTTCCTTATCTGTGGATGATACAACCAGAACTGCCAGTGGTATCTGAACTTGTGGATAGTATTGAACCCTCTATGGACTATTTTTTCCTAACTTAACATATATATGATAGTTTAACTTATACATTAGGTCCAGTAAAATGTTGTTAATAATAGAGTAGAACAATTACAACAATATACTATAATAAAAGTTATTTAAAACTTACATATGTTTTTTTCTGAAATTTCCCTTTAGTAGTTTTTGAACCATATTTGACCCTAGGTAACTGGAACTGGGATGTAAAACTGGAGAGAAATAGGGATTTCTACGTAAAGAAAAATAATCTTTCTATTTTATAAAAGTACAAAATCTTTTTTCTTTGAATGTGAACTTCTAAGAGTTCATTGTGAGAAAATTAGTAAAATATAGACAAGCCAGAAAGAAAGGGAAATTAAATACCCTTTTACCTACTGTGACCATTATTTTTTTTTATGGCCATGATTGACATGATTATTTTCTCCTAGTTTTTTTGTTAGTATACCCTTATACACGTATACACATGTTTAACCAGTTGAAGTCATATTCATTCTAAATAATCTTACATCCTTTTAAAAGTCACCTTTGTATTTTCCTATAGTGTCATAAAGAAAAATAGCAATCATTATTCCCAGGGAATATGATTATCAAAAAACCCCAAAACACAAAACAAAACAAAAATTGAAAACCAATTGTAAAAAATACAAATTTTAAGACAATGGGTTAAATTTATTATGTAAAAATCAGTAATGTTCCTAATTTTCAGCTATTGTTAGACTGTATTATGGTATTGTATTGATAATCACAGCAAAAAAGTGTAGGAATAAACTTAGATGCGAAGGGCTTATATCAAAAAAACTACAAAATTTTCAATGTGGAATAAAAGACTTGGATAGCATGTTCTTAGATGAGCAGACTACCATAATATAACTGTCAGTTACCTCTGTATTTCCATATTCATTTATAGACCCAATGTAATCCTTACACATTTAGTTTTGGAACTTAGAGTTTAGGAGAGCAGACAACAAAAAATAAAAATTTCAAATGGTAATAGGAGGCTTCCTCAACCAGATATAAAAATATAGTATTGTGATCGGGCTTTGGATAAGACAAATGAAATAGAAACTGTAATTAGTCAAACAAATGCTTATTAAAAGTAAGCTAAAGGTGGCATTTTAACTCAAAAAGGATAGGATAGATGATTTTATCGTGTAGGGAGAATTGAACACCTGGGGGAAGATTGTTTAACGTACGGTTTTTATCAAAATGAATTATAGATGGCTTAAACACATTTATTCTTACAATTAACAGAAGAACAGAATGTCAGTTTGAAGATATTTTAGAAATTAAGGGGGCCAGCGAGATAGCTCAGCGGGCTAAGTGCCTGCTTAGGCAAGCACAGGGACCAGGCACTTGCCCACCCTGGGCACGCTGAGCTGGCCACTGAGAGCAGGCATGGTGGTACATGCCTGTAATCCCAGCTCAGGAGAGGCTGAAAACGGGAGGATCACTACGAATCTGAGCTGTGTAGTGAGACCCTGTACCAATACATTTAAAAAAAGTTAAGGCTAGTATGGCGAGTCATAAAGGTAAGAGGTAAAAATTAAAATTTAGAGACATGTTCACATGTCCACCAGAGAAGGATGGCAACGAATGGTAGATATAACCTATTACGGCTGCCAGTTTTAAAAGCTTCTGAAGACCTAATGATTCCACTTTACAGTAGCAGAAATAAGTGGAGTTATTTTTCAGTGTCTAAAGTGTTACACCAGGGCTGGGGAGAGATAGCTCAGCTGCATAAGCACCTATCTGGCAGGTGCAAGGTTCCAACTTCAACCCCCACGTGATGTACCTGCCCTGGGGGCATGGTGGCATGTGCCTGTAATCCCAGCGCTGGGAGGCTGAGACTAGAGGATCACTACAAGTCAGAACTGTGTAGTGCTTGGGTCAAAATGGTGGGCTGCCCGGCTTAGTGCAGCCTCAAGCTGGGGCCTGGAACGTATTCGGAAGTGGTATTACAATGCTGCAGGGTTCAATAAGCTGGGCTTAATGTGAGATGATACACTAGATGAGGATGAAGATGTAAAAGAAGCCATAAGAAGGCTTCCAGAACACCTTTGTAATGACGGGATGTTTCACATTAAGAGAGCCCTGGACCTGAGCACGAAGCATCAGATCTTAGCTAAAGAGCAGTGGACAAAATATGAGGAGGATAAATCCTGCCTTGAGCCATATCTCAAAGAGGTTATTTGGGAAAGAAAAGAAAGAGACGAATGGGCAAAGAAGTAATCACATAGTTGAAGTCTGTGGATGCAACTATCTTCAAAAAAATTTTTTTTCTTTTTTTGCAGAACCGGGGATTGAATTTAGGCCTTTGTGCTTGCCAGGGAAGCACTTATTCTACTGATCCATCTCCCCGGCCCCTCAAAATATTTTTATAAACTTGGTTAACCCTAAAACATACAGTTCAAAAGTTACCTGGTCTGCAGATACCATACCTTAAATAAATGCCTGTTGTATTAAAAAACTAAAACAAAACTGTGTAGTGAGATGCTGTATCAATAAAAATTTTTAAAAGTTACATCAAAAAGTAGTTAAATAGGAATAAAAATTATATGAAAATATAAATATTGTTGCATGAAGCAAAAAAAGTCCCCATTCATTCTTTTTTGTAACTTCTGAGGGTTTCTCATAGCCTGCTTTTTAGAGACAGCTGTAGGTTTTAGGGGCATTTTTGTTGTCTTACTTTTAATTCCTTAACTCATTATCATCTAGATTCTGCCTTTATTGTTGCACAAAAATTTGTGTCTTGGTTTTCCAAGCCAGTGATTCCTTTTTCAGTCCCAAAATGGACCCCTCTGCAATATTTTGAACTGGTGATTGTTTCCTTGGTGAAATATTCTTCCCTTTAATATTTATGATTTAGTATTCAGCAATAAAGAGTTGGTTAAATATAAATTAGGATATTAGGATGTATAGTTGTATGATAGAATATTCTGTTGTAGTTAAAAAGAATGCAGCCAGTCTTTCCATAAGAGCAGCATAGGCAGTTCCAATTTATACTAATACTGACTGTCACGTACAGTCAGTCCTTCTTATTTAGTGTTGTGAAAAAACTTTTCCTATGTGAATACAGAAGCTGTTAATAGAATATAGAAAAAAATTAAAATCCTGATTGTTTTCTTTGGGAGGCTGTTTGATGAATGATGGGTATAAAAAGATAAGGCATGTCTGTGTCCTCTGGGAACTGATGCTTTGCTGAGGACTTCTGTGAGACAACTGTCTCTCCTTTTATCGCCTGTTACCTTCCGAGGTCTCCTGAATTCTTCCGTGGTGTACCTCTTCTTTCTTTTTCCATTCTCTTCCACTCTCGTTACTTAGGTCATGAAGTATGGCCCAGAAATTCCTTAATCTATATCTCTAGCTGGAATGAGTATGTTTTCCTACATGTATCAATGAACAGAGAATCTCACTTGGATGTGCCATAGTGCTTAAAATGATCATGTGTGAGGTTGAACTCTATCCTCGGAGCGCTCTACTGCTTCATGATGTGTTCCCCTAATCATTTGCTTCATAATTATTAGGGAGACAAAATGAAATCATGAAACTGGCTACTCGTGCCTGATAGGAGTTCTTAGAGTTCTTTACACTTTTCGTTGCACAGCCCTCCGGAAAAGTCTAGTAAGTTTCAAAAACCTGTCCATCCTTCTTCTGAATATTGCTTAAATCCTTCTTAGGATCTTAGTTTCTTTTTTTACCCTTCAAATACTTTTTTGGGGGATGGGGGGAATGCATACAATGACATTCTTGGCAGATGTACTGCCCTGTTTTCCTTGCCCCATAGTGGGGTGCCTACATACTGCCTCTTCCCCAACGCTCCTGCAGCTCCTCCTGTGCCATGTTCTGAGAGTCCAGGGCCAAGTCCTGACCCCTCACCTGACCTTCCCTTTGTATTTACCATGGAGTAACTTATGCGAGAGAGAACCAGCCACACTGGGACTCTTGCTTCCTTTTAAGTGAGATGATTTTGTTTGATTCTAATTTACTGTTCACTTTGGAAGGCCTGTTCTTTGTTTGGTTTAACCCGTTATATTCTTTTTCTGTCAGAAACACTGAGAAAATTGTTTCTAACCAAGTGAAGCTACTTTTTAGCTCCCAGTTGAGTCTTAAGTGTTGCCCACTGTTAACTATAATTGCTAAACTTATGTATTAAAAACATTTTAAACAATGAAAAATTTGTGTCTGTGATTTGCGTTGCTTAAAGCAAAGGTACTTACTAAATAATGTGGGTTTTAAAATGAAATTAATTCAGTTTTCCTAGTGAAATCCACCTATTCCTGCCCTTGCATTAAATTAAGCAACAAGTGTTTTCATAGAAAGCTTCATTTAGTCTTTACCATTCTGAGAAAGTTTTAATTTGTTTTACAGGTAGGGAGGACTCAAGCTCAGGAAGTTACATACCATAGCAAAGGCATTTATATTCCAAGATGCTATTACATCATATTTCCCTCTATACTTTTAAACGAATCTGACAGTAACATGTAATTTTATGATCTATTTACAACAGCTTTTTTTTTTTTTTTTTTTGATACAGGGTCTCACTACATAGTTTGGACTCATAGTGATCCTCCTGTCTCAGCCTCCCCAGCATTGGGATTACAGGTGTGTGCCACCATGCCTGGTTTTGGTGGCCAGCATAGCGTGTGGTACCAGGGATTGAACCCAGGTCCTTGCACTTGCCAGGCAGACACTTAGATCACCAAGCCATCTCTCCAGCCCTTCACTTATTTTTTATAGCTCATTAAATGCATGAATGTTCTTTTATTTGAAGTTGTAACTTTCTAAGAAAATAAATTAACTAGGAATTTCACAATGTCTGGAACTTTTTCCTTTGCCTTTTTGTTGATACTATTCTGCTGTATAGCTGTTGTATGGATTAGACCTAAGCCATAGCTACTTCTTCCCTTGATAATAACTGTCTCGTACTAGCAGCCCTTAAAAATACTTGAGAATATGGTATTATTCCTAGGCTGAAGTTAAGCATAACAAACTTTTTCATTTCTTTCTGAATTGATTGCAGTAATTGTTGCATTATTCATGTCTTCTAAAGGCTTTTTAACATGTTTATTTACTTGTAGCTTCGTCAGCAGTTGAAGTGGTTGATATGTGAGCTCTGCAGATTATATAACGTGCCTAAGCACCTGGATGTTGAGATGCTAGATCAACCACTACCCGTGGGTCAGGTAAAGTAAAGATTTCCCAGTGTTCAAGAGCTGAAATAAATTGTCTCAGTTAAAAGTAAAAATAGGGTTTTGGTTTTTTTTTTATTATTATACAACTTACTTAGAAGATTTTTTTGTTTGTGTTTTTGTCAGGTTGCTTTAGTTGTATTTGAAGTACTAAAAGTAATATTTTATTCTTGGGAGCTGCTGATATTTACTGTCATAGGCAAACGAATGCTCTTTTGCCCCAGTGTTTTGTTTGTGTTAATATTTCTGATTCTGTAAATAGTCATTGCTTAATGGACTACTTGACTTTGGTTGTTATTATCTTCGCTTAATTGCCAAATGCTTAAGACCTAACCCAAATGCTATCAATTCCAGTAGGGAAGGTGAATTGTTAGGTTTATCTACTTAGGTTTTCCTCTTGTGAGGATTTAGCTCTTATACGGTACTGCTTACTTCTCCTAAAACCTTACCTTTAGTTATATGAATAATCACTGGTTTATTACTAGGATTTTTTAGGATAGAGCCAGGTTTTCTTTCTTTAATTTTTCTTTCTTTTTTTTTTTTTTTTTTT